AAAAAAAAAAAAAAAAAAAGAAAGAAAGAAAGAATTGCAAACAGCATGCTAATTATTAATAGCAAATTGGAGGGGGGCATTATATAAATAGTACAGAGTACTGTATGGCCATGCTCCAGAGTCCCTTTTCCCTTTATCGTGTACTTGGAAGTCAAAATTAGTTACTATAAAGTTAATAAGAAAAGGGGCTGGGTGGAATGGCTCATCCTGTAATCTTAGCACTCTGAGAAGCTGAGGTGGGAGGATAGCTTGAGCTCAGTTTGAGGTTAGTATGAACAACATAGGGAGATCCCGTCTTTACCAAAAATAGAAAAATTAGCCAGAGGCAGGGGCATAAGCTTGTAGTCCCAGCTAATTAATTGGAAGGCTGAGGCAGGAGGGTCATTTGAGCACAAGAGTTAGAAGTTGCGGTGAGCTATCATGACACCACCGTACTCTAGTTAGGACGACAGAGTGAGACTCTATCTCAGGCGAAAAAAAATTAATAAGCAAGGAATAAATACCAAAAGGTACTATGATATCCAGAACACTTTACCCAAGTCATGAAAAAGTCTTATAAACGAACCTGCTATCAAAGAAACTTCTTCGGCAATACTACTTCTTTGGTGAATATTTACCTTTGCCAAATTAGTCTCTCATCTTAAGATGGTTAACAAAGCACACATACTATCCAATTCTGATAATGAACTATGCAGACTATTCAGAAAGTATATAATACAACAGATTACATGGTTTTTTCTTTGCTTTCGTTGCATCACTCACATTGTAGTTTTCTTTCTGAGACAATACCCAGCTCAATTAATATGATATCTTAAATTTCATCTCCCAAGACACTTCTTAAGGTAGTGTGCTGGTGGTGAAGGCACATGTTAAGTACATCTTCCCTACTATTCGCCTTCCCCACATACTGTTTGGCCATCCTGACCGAAGAGAGGGCAATCCTAGCCAATGCTGAGGAAATGAAAAAGGAAGAAACTGTGGAATGTGGTCCACTGGTGAGTTACTACCATGAATGAGGGGAAGGGGTGGAGGGGAGGTGAGAACTAAAGCTGGGAATGCTAAGCAAATTACCTCTGAGAAACGTATACTCTGAGCCTCAGGTTCTTCATCTATCTGATTGGATAATACCAACCCTCATAAAATTGTAAGGAATAAATAAAATAATACAAAAAAAGAACAGGATTTCTCCTACGTCAGCTGAGAACAAACTATTTACATAACTTATTATAATACTGAAGTATATTTTCTTAATAAACAAAAATGAATTGTAAAAGAAAAAAAGGGATCTTTAGGTCAGTAAATCAAAATGCTTACTTTTTCACCAAAGTAGGGGGATGAAGTGGTGCCTCTTCTCCGAGACTTCTCTTTCTTCCCACAGGATTCTTTGCTGAACATCTTAAAGAGCTAAAATAAACATTAGAGTTGCATTATACAGCCAGGCACAGAGGTTCACACCTATAATCCCAGAACTCTGGGAGGATGGATTGAGACCAGGATATCATCTCTACAAAAGTTTTGTAGCAAAATATCTTGAGAAAGATACCATCTCTACAAAACTTTTTAAAAATAGGGTGTGGTGGTGTACAGCTGTCGTCCCAGCTACTTGGGAGGCTGGGACAGGAGGAGCTATGATTGTGTCTCAGACCAGCCTGGACAACACTGAGACACTGTCTAAGGAAAAAAAAAATGTATATATATATATGTGTGTGTGTGTTTTACCACAGTAAAAAATACATTAGATATTTTTCTGCTTTCAGTTTATATAAAGATTAGAATTTAACAAAATGATTTCCATTTTTTCACCATTCCCAAGACAACTCTCACTGTTCCAACTTTCTTCACTTACATTTGCCTTCTTGATGATCTGTTCCCCTCCTTCAGTTTTATCTATCACCTTTTCAGAAATTACTCCTTTTTTTTTTTTTTTAAGAGACAAGAGTCTCACTTCGTGGCCCTTGGTAGAGTGCTATATTATCATCACAGCTCACAGCAACCTCTAGCTCGTGGGCTTAGGCGATTCACTCGCCTCAGCCTCCCAAGTAGCTGGGACTACAGGTGCCCACCACAACATCCGGCTATTTTTTATTGCAATTTGGCCAGGGCCAAGGTTGAACCCGCTACCCTTGGTATATGAGGCTGGTGCCCTACTCACTGAACCAGAGGCACTGCCCTCAGAAAAACTCTTCATCAGATCACCATTTTCAACTGTCTGTGATGGCTCGGCACCTGTGGCTCAAGCGGATAAGGCGCCAGCCACATACACCTAAGGTGGTGGGTTCGAATCTCCAGCCCCAGCCCACCAAACAACAATGATGGCTGCAACCAAAAAATGGCCAGGCGTTGTGGCGGGCGCCTGTAGTCCCAGTTACTTGGAAGCTGAGGCAGGAGACTCGCTTGAGCCCAGGAGTTGGAGGTTGCTGTGAGCTGTGATGCCATGGCACTCTACCCCAGGGGGATAGCTTGAGGCTCCGTCTCAAAAAAAAAAACTGTCTGTGAGACTACTATGTTGTATCTCATCTACATTTCAAAACCAATTAGTCTTTTCAATTTTCCCAGCATACCATCTGTAACTCAGTGAATAAGCCTTTGGGCAAATCTCACACACTTTTTTTTTTTTTGAGATAGAGCCTCAAGCTATCCCCCTGGGTAGAGTGCCGTGGCATTATAGCTCACAGCAACCTCCAACTCCTGGGCTCAAGTGAGTCTCCTGCCTCCGCCTCCCAAGTAGCTGGGACCACAGGCACCTACCACAACGCCGGCTTGCAGCCGTCATTGTTGTTTTGGCGGGCCCAGGCTGGATTCGAACCCGCCACCTTAGGTGTATGTGGCTGGCGCCTTAGCCCCTTGAGCCACAGGCGCCGAGCCATCTCATACACTTTTTAAGCCCCAGTTTCATGATACATAAAATACTATCCCTGAGGGTTTTGAGGGGTTCAAATGAAATAATGTATAACCTGTGCAAAACACCTTGCACAGGATGGTACATAGCAGGGTCTAAATAAATACTCGCTTATGTGATTGTCTTTCTACCAGGTCCTGAACGCCTTGAACAGTACGCTGTATTAGGAACTTAAGAAGGTTCTCATAGATGCTGATGAATAAATGAATGAGAGAATTCTTTTTCCTCAGAATATTCAATACACTCTTTTATTCTGAGCCACTTTCAATTCTTGCTCACTGTAGTTCTGTCCACTTCCTATCCTAGTCTAAATTTTCCTGCCCCGCAGTAGACCAAGTAAATACAGTAAGATAACGAGGGAAAAAAAAAAAACCCAGTAAGACAAATCTGGCCACACCCTATGGTCAAAAACAGTGTTCAGGTTAGTGTGAGCCAGCAGCATCTTGTGCTGGGACATAGTGGCCACAGATTGGCAATATTGCTAGGTCTGCTACGGAAGACATAAAGGAGATCTGGAAGCAAAGCCCCCACCACGCCCCGAAAAAGAGTTGATCGCTGGTAACGGCACATATTGCAACTGTGAGTCTAACAAAGGCTAGAAACCAACCACTTTTAATTATTCCTGGTCAATCATAATCAGAGTAAATTAAGTCCTACAAAAGAATGATCAATTATACTAAATCAAACATTTAGAATGCTTTGATGATTATGAGGAGGAAAAATGCCAAAAGCTAACAGGAAATTACTAACAAAAATTAATACATGTGTGTATTTTTTTCCACAGTAAAAAATACATTAGGTATTTTTCTGCTTTCAGTTTATATAAAGATCAGAATTTAATCTACTAATAAAAATTAATAAATGAATGTTCAAACTAGACTTCTGTTGTCATTCTGCTCTTGGGGTGAAACAGTGAGGGCAGCAAATCTCCCAGTCAGTTATTTTCAAAGAAATAACCTATGAGGCTCTGAGAGGAAAGCAGCTTCATAAGCCAACAAATAGCAAGGAAGTGCCCCCCCTCAAGAAAAAAACCTCAGGGGTCTGTCTTTGAGCTCCACAAAATGTGTACGAGCAGCAAGCATGGAAAATTCAAACTTAGGAAACTAGGACCACATTGCCAAATTCAAAAGGTGTTTTACAAAGTCAAAGAAAGAGGAAATAAGGGAAAGACACACAGAAAGAAACAGCAGGGGATCAAAAGTAAAAAATGAAAGGGGCATAATGCTTGGGGGTAAACTTTAACTTCCCCATTCTAAACTGCTAATCTACATCTTAAACCATCAATCTTTCCAGCACCGGTTGGTAACCTACTGATCTATATCTAAACAGCTGAACATTCCTGACCCTGCTGGTGTCCCACAGGTACTGGTGGGGGTTGAGGAATTCAGGCTGTGGTCAATGCACCCTCAAGCATGTCATCCTACACTAAACTCTAACCTACAGACTTGTAAGAATAGATTCTAAATTACCAAGAAATTCTACTTTGTAAGCTAAGTTTATGGAAATAAATTCACAATTGGGCTCTTAGAGTAGTAATTATCTTTTCCCTGTCTTTCGCCAAGGATTCCATCCCAGGGCAGGGAAAGGTATGACAAAATATAAGAATGTCCATGAAATGCATGTTTAGAGGCCACTAACTGGTTATATCCTCTTACAATTTAAACTGATCCACACTGGCCTGATGATGATGTTGCTTTGAATACAAAATAACGTTAATTTAAACCTCTTACCCACAGAGATATTGAAAAAGTACATGGCAGATAGTGAACTAAGGAAAAACACTATACATTTCCTATGACAATTTTTTATATCTATCTTAGTATGAAATTCACACTGATTTTATGGAAATCAAAATAAATTAAAAGAGGGCGGCACCTGTGGCTCAAAGGAGTAAGGCGCCAGCCCCATATGCCAGAGGTGGCAGGTTCAAACGCAACCCCAGCCAAAAACTGCAAAAAAAGGAAAAATAAATAAATTAAAAGAGGGAATAATTCCTGTGCTGGCCAGTCTCTAGGACAACTCCAGAAGATTCTGCTGCTTGGTAATCACATTCATTATGCAGGCAAAATGAATAGGACTGACCTGTGTAACCAACAGGATATTGCCATATAGTGGTATGAAGCTAAGTCATATAAAATATCAACATTTCTGCCTTGTTCTGTTTTGGATTGCTCCCACTAGGAAAAGCCAGCTGCCCTGAAGACACTTCAACAGCCCAAGGAAAGGCCCTCGGGCAAAGAAGTGAGTCCTCTTAACCAACAACCAGAACCAACTGCCGGCATGTGAATGAGCTACTTCTGAAGCTGACCCTGTACCTAATTCCTAGTCAAGCCTTCAGCTGACAGTAGCCATGGCACTGCAACTTCATGAGACCCAGAACCAGACCAAAAAGCCATTTCTGAGTTCCTGACCCACAGAAACTGTGAGATAATACATATTTATTATTGTTTTAAGTCACTACCTTTTGAGATAACTATGCAACACCAATAAATGAGAAATATATTCCATTAACACAACTCATCAGACTTTAAAGATAAGTTCTTTAGGATGTCTCAAGAGCAAAAGCCATGCTTAGAAAATCAGGCTAAAATTCCCATAGAATCCACATGCTAAAATCTAACCCTTTTTGTCTTTTGGTTTCCACGTAGTATTCAATGATGAGGTAAACTGATTGCATATAGCTTTCAGTGGAACCATCTTGTCTTCTAGAAATAAAAATCAATGATTTTTGTATAATGCATAGATACAGTATTTCTATAAATTATAATCAGTGTTATTACCCCATTTTTAGTTGACTGTAAAGCAGTTGTTAGTCAACCTACATCCAGAACTAGTAATTAAAAGGGGCGGAGGCACTAAAATGGCTTTAGGATTATAATTCACATTAGTTTCACAGGGATAATTTGTTTCCATTCAACAGTGGAGAGGTTAAAAAAAAATAAAACCCTCGAGATACACTTCCTTACGATGGAGGGTAAAGAAAGGTTAACTTCCAGGTAAGAGTTTCAAAGTGCCAATTAAGCATGCTACCTCTCCCCTGGGCTCTGAAACAAGTAGGAAATACACGGAGAAGACAGGTATTTATCAGTTTTATTAACTAAAAAACCAAACAAAAGTGTATTGTATCTGAGACTAAAGGGGGTTGCTTCCCTCGCCTTCTCTGGGGCCTATATTCGGACAAGTCCCAAGCAAAGAAGCCAGAAACCTCAAGTACCCCCCCCCCCGCGCGCGCCCATTGCCCCAGTGGGTTTATCATCAAAAAGTAGACGACACAGAGAAGGGGGTCCAGGCAGAGAGAGAAAAAAGAGAAGAGAACAAGAGAGGCTTGAGTGCAAAGTAAGCCCATAGAATGCAGGGTGTCAGTGGACTCACTGGCTTATGTTTTGGAAAATCAGAAACACAATTACCAAGGGACCCGAAGCTCCACACACTTAGCGCTCTGGTTATTAACAGACCGAAGACACCGCAAAACTGGGCCAAAAAAACTCCTGTCCACTAGACGCTAGTGGTGTCCACTAGACGCCACACCACTGCGCTACCAATGCTGGCAAAATGAAGGCTACAGCAAAAACAAAAACAAAGGAAAAGAGTGTTCGAGGGCGGTGTGGGTGACGGTGCGAAAAGAAGAGCAGACCTCAACTAACTCCGCGGGACGGACAGGCAAGGTGCGGAGGCTCGTAAACCGCCACCATCCACCAGGGCCGCAGAACCGGGCCAGATACTCACGCTGGGCGAGGGGCAACCACGGAGGCAGTCCGGGCCAGAACCACACTGGCCACCGAGCCGCCTCGACCCGGGTCCGTTCATACAGCTGAGCCGCTCAGCCTCGAGCGACTCCCAAGCCTCTAGTCTGGCCGGCCGGTCGCCTGTTTGGGTACTTGGGGCGGGGGAAAAGCGAGCACCCGCCCCCGGCCAGTTGCTACCTTATCAGCGCCCACTGCGGTGGCGACTCCGGAGGCCTAGGCCACGGGGAAGGGTGCCCTGAACCCGACGCCCGCTGGGAAATGTAGTTCCGCGCCCCGGTCCCGCCGGCCGCCCGAACGCTCCGGGGCGTTTGTTTAGATTGGCATTTGCTTCCCCGCTCGCCCCCCGAGGACTTGGAACGCCGGCCCCGCCCCGGGAGGTGCAGTGCACTCTGGGCATTGTAGTCTTGTTCTGTTCGGTGGGTGCAGGACGAGTGGAACGGAGACGCACCGTGGAAACGGAACTCTCGTACCCCATTGGACGCCGTCCCCAGTACGCGTCTGCGCAGTCTGTGGTGGCGTCGTAACGCCCCGGGGAAGGGGAAGCGGACGGGGACCTGGACTTGCTGCATCTGACTTTCTGCTGTACTACTAGCAGGATTGGGTCACTGGTTCTTCCCCTTTTGTCTGTTGCACGCATCCCGCCCTCCCCATTTGTTTTCCCACTCCTTGGATCCAGCCCAGTGGGCATTCACGTCAGTTCTCTCACCCCGCCGTGAGCCCCCTCTTGGTCCCCGGGAGGGCCTGGCACGGAGGCGGTAACTATGGAGAATATGGCGGAGGAGGAGCTGCTACCCCTGGAGAAGGAGGAGGTGGAGGTGGCCCAGGTCCAGGTCCCGACCCCGGCCCCGGACTCGGCTCGGGTCCCAGCTCCGGCCCCGGATTCGGCTCTGGACTCGGCTCCGACTCCGGCCTCGGCTCCAGCCCCAGCCCCTGCCCTGGCCCAGGCTCCGGCCCTGTCCCCGTCCCTAGCCTCTGCCCCTGAGGAGGCTGAAAGCAGTAAGTGCAGGAGGCCCAGATCTTTCTGCCTCAGGAGAAATGAGAAAGTGCGCCTTGCTGGGAAGTAGGGGAGGCCCTTCTTCACAGGGATGGTTTTTATGGGGAAAGGCAGGTTTAGGGAAATGGAGGGAGGAAGGGGGGACCTGGGTAGCGGGTAAAGCAGGCATGTAGAACGGGAGAAGGCACCTCCCATCACGGTGAAGGTTATGTGGAGGCCACGGGTGCTGCAGATACAAATAATTAATTTAAGGGTTTCTTGGTTAACGGGGGTCTTTTTATGGTCCAGAAATAGGAAGTTACACCTAATTTGGTAGTTTCCCTCTCGACCCAGTAAGCCATAGTTAACTGTGTCCTTTCAAATGTGATATACTCACCAAGGCAACCGGTTTACGATACTAGATCCTAGCTGCCAAAATTAAGAAATCATTACTGTCAAGTGTTTTTTTTTCTTCGACATACACAAAGAGATGGGTTTTTCTCGTTTTATTTTCTTTAGCAGCTTGCTTCCAAAAACAATTTGAGACTGATGAGTAGTTTAGGAAAGAATCGACTAAATTTATGGATATCTTCCCCCATACGTAAATACCAGTTGAGTTTTGTACTCCGTTCCATCTGAACTTGACGGTTGAAAATTAACAACCCATGTTATCAAGCTTCTGAATGTGCTTGCATGTTTTCTAAATACTAAGACTATAAAAGATGGATGAGTAACACTTTCTCAAGGAACTTGTGGACATTTTTAAATGTAAGGTCTAAGAAAGATTTAATGAAGTTCTTGTAACAAATTATTCTGAGGTCCATAAATTGACCCTTATGCTCTTTCTGAATTATAACTTAAAATCTCTTAAATTAATCCATCGCCCTTCCTACTTCTAGACTACTTTTGAGTGTAATGCTAAAACACTCGGATAGGTATAGTTTAATGTTATTTTGCTACTTCAAAACGACATGTAAATTATTACAGATTTAAGAGTAGGGCTGATCATAGGAAAGCCAAAGTCAATATACCACAAGTAGTCCCCTCCTCATCATAAAAGCTTAAATGCAAAATATGGCGAATTATTGCTTTGCTCACAACTACAGTGGGAGGGAGAGTGATGGTATTAAACTTTCCTAAGTAGCCTCCTACCCCACTTCCAAAATATATGTTTTTATTAATCAGAAGTGGTTCCGCAACTTTAGGGAATACATACTTTTTTTCACTTCCCCTCCAGCAAAAAATAGTTTGGAAAGATTTACTCTTATGTTCCAAAACTTACAAATACATCATTTGAAGAACGTATACTGTTGAGGAAGCCCGAAAGTGCATTAATAAGACAAACATGTAATGATGGAGAAATCCAAAATGCATTAAAAGTAAAATGTATTAATCATATAAAAATTATTTTTAGATGATCTAGTTAGTCCTTTGAAGTCAGTCATAACTAGGCAAGATGAAGATGGCCTATCTTCTATTGAGGAAAAAATGACAGCAGTTGTAAAAGACCCTTGTAGCGTCTTCGACTCATCTGATTTAGAAAGAGGTTTGGTATTGACTTCTTGATTATTAGCATGTTATGAAAAGTAGGTTGAGTGGCTCAAACACAGATTGTCTAATATCTACTATCTTGAACCAGAAAGTGATTTCAGAAATATTTATAAGTATACATGAATTTTTAGACAGATCTTTCCATTTTCTTCAATAGTGGAACCACAGGATTTTTAGTTTTCTAAATTACCAAGTTCCTTTCTCTTATTTTGTACTATTTACTAGAATAATTTCAGTAAGTACATCTTTAAATAGTGCTATTTATCTTGTTTTCACATAGATCTTTGAACAATGAAAGCCAGAAGCCTTTACAATTACCAATTAGATAGGTTGGTTTATACACATGGATTCATTTCCTGAATATAACTGTCTGATCTAGCAATTAAAAGTTTTTGATCAGATGGGAAAAAACTTTACCTATTTATAGAAATTAAATCTCATCTTAACTCATTTGAAGAATATGTAGTTTAAGAACTCAATAATATTTGTTGCTTTTTGTTCTTGCTCCTTTAAAAATAAGGTGAAAAATTGCCCTTTAATAAATTTGAGCAGGAACATCTGATAGTGCTGAATTGGACTCCAAAATTACTGACACAATATTCTATTGCATCCAAAAAGTGTAATGATAATTTTAAAAAATTATTGCTTAACAAATTATTGCCTACAGTGTGCAAATTACTGCACTAGGCATTTAGCCTTCTTATTGCTTATTTGTGGGGAGACAAACAAGAATACAGATTACACAAATAGGTGGACAGATAAACTGACAGTGAAGCTCAGAGAGGTATTAATAGGAAGGTAACAGCATCAAGAATTCAGTATAAACTCTTAAGGTTTTAAATTGTTTAATAACATAAGTATTAGAAATAGGAGATGCTGGTTTATCCCATTTTCTCTTATCTCCTTGGATCTTCACCTGTCAGTGTTCCGTGTCTTATATATTCAGTTCCCCACTTTGTAAGTGTTCTTTTCCTTTGGGATGCACATATATTCAATCTCTCCATCCTTAAAAAAAAAAAAAAAAGACATGCGTGATACCAGTTGCAATCGTATTCATCTTTTTTATACTTCCAGACGTCTTGAAAAAATAATCTACACTGGTTTTCTCTATTTTCTTTTCTACTTCCAAATAGGACCGAACCAACTTCTTAAAGGTCACCAGAGATTTCCAACATATGAAATCCAGTGGCCTTTTCTTTATCTCTACAACTGTTTGTGATACTTAGTGTTGAGCTTTTCTCTTTTATAGATTCTTCTTCCTTGGCTTCCACAGTATATAGATTCGCCTCACCATTTATTCTTTCAGAATCCACCTTCCTGATTCTTTTCAGCCAACTTCTCTTATAAATAACTTACATCCCTTCATATCTCACTTCCAGATGTGTCTGTCCTATATGAGTAATTGTATGATCACTCAGTCTAGCAGCATTGAGGAATTTATCCTCTCAACCCAGTCAAGAAGATTTAAAAGAAAAAAAGAATATTTTAAAAAGACTTACTCATGTACTCTCAAATTTACAAGTACTTCATTTGAAGAATGTGTAATGTGTGACAAACCTGAAAATGCATTACTGGGACAAAGACATAATAATTAAGAAATCTGAAATGGATTAGGATTAAAGTATGTTTTAAACACATTTTATAATTAACTTTAGGTGATCTAGATTGAAATCACTCATAACTAGGTAAGACTGGGTCCAGATGTTTTTCTTCTCTTTTTCACACTTTTGTCTTAGGCTTTCTCATAGTTCCACCTAACGTGTTACGATTTGTGTCTCCAGAATCTTCCTGGGCTCCCAAAGCAAGTTGTCGACTGCCTACTGGCCGTTATTACCAGAATACTCTACCAATAGTACATCTAAACATACTGTGTCAAAAACTAAATTTCATTTGCTCGCTCTTCTTCCTTTTCTCTACCTTGTTTAGTTCTTGGAGCCAGTATTCTCAACCACATAAACTCAAAAGCATAGAACCATCTTTGATTTCACTTTTCGTCCTTCTCACAGCTCAAGTTCTCTTGTTTCTTTTTTTACTTCTGATGTCCTGTACCTTCCCATTACTAATTTTCTCACCTTTCTTACAAAACCCTGATACTATTGCCAGAAATACTCTCCTGAAATGCATTCGAATCCTTTCATTCACTTCTTCAAAAACCTGCAAAGACCATTGCCTGAAGAATAAAGTCCAAACTAACTTACATAGAATTTCTGCCTTCCGGGATCTCTAATACCTTTTTTGCTCCATATTTTTCTTCCTATTCCATCCACTCAAATGTATTACCTTCTAGCCAAGGGTAAGGGAGGGGTGGCTGTATACTTTATGCCACATGCCCTTGTTTACAAGGTAGTTTGAATTTATAAGGCCAGTCTCCCAATCTCTACTTAGTCAAATGGCACTTCAGTGGAGACGTGCTCCAAGTTACTTAAAATGACTCCTTCCTGTGTATGCCTGCATCACAGTGCCTCTACCTCTAGTGTTCATTTCAGCCTACTTTTAGATAGAAGTTCACATATTAACCTCTCTCACCTGACTGACAGTTATTTGAAGACAGGAAACATGGCTTATATTTCCTTCTCCCATATTTTCTACAGGATGGAAACAATTTTTATAGAACTATGTTGACCAATTAGATAAAATTTTAAAGCCGTAATGTTATGCATGGGGGTTTTCCCCCCAACTTTTTGCCTTCTGAAGCATGCTTGTTATTTTGTACGCTGAGTTGCGGCAGTATTCCAACGCTAGGTACTAGGACAGGAAATAAAGTGTAAACTTATATGTGATGTGGTAAAAAAAAAAAAAAATGCAAGTACAATACAAATTGTTAAAGCGTAATTTTCTAACTCTTAAAATTGCCTTTCAGAGAGACACTTCTCAATCCAAAGGCAGCTTGCCGATCTAGAGAAATTAGCTTTTGTAACTGAAGGGGATTTTAAATCTGCCAGTTCATCAAACTCAGATAATCTTGATGCAGGTATTTCCATGTTTTTGTTTAATTTCTAATTTATCATCTTTCAGTTTGTGAATATAGTTTGCTAAGAATAGACCATTTATTCCTTTTGAACTAAAACAGTAGTAAAGTAGAAATTTTTATTGAGGAAATTGAGAGCCTTGTATGTGCAGAGGTGCTATGGGAATAAATTAGTTTATGATTCCTCAGGGAATTATAATCTCATGGATGTCTAAGGGCTGCGTATGGTATAAGTTAGGAATTGCTTTTGGCTGTGAGTAACAAATTAAAAAAAAACAACTGTATCTTCAATAATATAGAGGTTAATATTCTATCATGTAAAAGAAATTCCAAGATAGGCAATTTAGAGCTGGTACAAGAATTCTACGGTATTGTCAATGACCAGGCTCCTCTCTTTCTGTTCTGCTATGGTTAGTGCTGGTTACCATCCTCAAGATTACCTCATGATTTTTTTGAAGTAGGTGGTGTATATAAAAACATAAATTGAACCTATCTGGTATTGTTCTGCATGTGAAGGGTATTTGTTGAATTAAAATTTATTAAATGAGTTATTGATTATTGGTACATATTTTATTGTTTTAAATGTGAATTTGACCTTCTAATACTTTTATATACTTTTTTCCCCAAAACACACTGTGTAGAAAGTAAATGGGATCTGTTTCCATCTTTTTTTGTTGGCTTGTATTTGAGACAGGATCTTGGAATGTTGCCTAGATTGGAGTACAGTGGCCATTCATGATAATGATCAAAGCATACTATAGCCTTGAACTCCTGGCCTCAGGCAATCCTCCTGGTCCAACTTCCCAAGCACCTGAGACTACAGACATGTGCCACTATGCCTAGATCATATAGTATTTATCACAGTTTTTATTTGAAATACATTATATTTCTTTTTATGATTATTTTTTATTTTTTAATTTTTTTGGCTTGGGACAGAGCTTTACTCTGGGCTCAGGGTCGAGTTTGCAGTGGCATCATCAACTCCCTGCAACCTCAAACTGCTGGACTCAAGCCCTTCTGCCTTAGCTTCCTGTGTAGCTGGGACTACAGGACATACAACCACACATGGGTAGCTTTGGTTTTATGTTGTTTTCTTAGAGATAGGATTTTGCCATGTCGCCAAGGCTGATCTCAAAGTCACTGGCCCCAAGCAATCTTCCCATCTCAGCTTCCCCAAGTGCTAGGATTACAGGCATGAGCCACCGTGCCTGACTTATATTTCTAATTAAATAAGACTTCTATAGGGAGTTTGGTAATAAAGAAGAAAGAACTTACAAATTCAAGTTGGAGACAGAGGTTCTAACCATGTCCCCCATTTCAGTACAGCAATTATGTTGGATCTCATCTACTCCTTCCACTTCCTTCCATGTTAACTATTTTTGTCGCAGCAGATTAGCAAAGGAATATATAGCAGGTACTTATGCTGTCTGCTCAGCACAAGTTCTTTGGGGAGTATGATAGCCACTGTCCTTTCCCATATTCAAGGTGAAGTGATGCTTTCTGTGGCAGGTGGTTTGGCTTAAAGAATATCATCGTTTATCACTTCCTCAGACTCTCTATTTGCAGTGGCAACAAGAGCATTGGAAAGCCACAGAGAAAGTTTTAGGGTGAAAAAACAATCACTGGTCATATGCTACAAGACTATTGTTATTGTTAACTACCCCCTGGTTCAGTAGTTATTGTTAACTACCCCCTGGTTCTGTGATAATGACCTCCCCCTACACTTAAGAAAGACTTTCTCTAAGAAGTGAGAGGGGGAGCCCCCTGTTACCTGTTGTAGCTGAAATCTACCATTAATAATGAATATATTCTATACTTTATGGATTCTTTTTGTCTTTTTAAGGAAACAAGCAGATGTGTCCTTTGTGCCCCATGGAAAAATTCAGAGCTTGTAATAGCCATAAGCTTCGTCGTCACCTTCAGAATTTACACTGGAAAGTCTCAGTTGAATTTGAAGGTTAGTATTTTTATTCTTGCAAAAAAGCATTGTATGTGAAATTCAATATTTGTTACCAATTTTGGAATTTAATTATGAACATAGTCAAATATTTTGAGTTTAAAATTATGAGGGATTTAATGTCACTTCTAATACATTTAATAAAAGACTATATAGCTCTAGGCCAGTGGTTCTCAACCTTCCTAATTCCCATTGTTAGAAATGGAAAAAAGGGGTCGCCACCCACAGGTTGAGAACTGCTGCTCTAGGCAGTAGATGTATATGACACAAGTAGTTAGTTCAGCAAACAGTTTCTATCCTGATACTCTGTTTGGCCTTAGGAGTCCATGTTGCTTACTCAACAATATTTTGGTAAGTTAACTTTTCCTTTTGTAGTAGAATAATTTTACCCGTATTTTTGAAGGTGTAGTAAATGTAGTAAAATAAGAAAATAAACAAATTGATACAAATATTGGAAAAGATGTGATGACATCTCTTTTTCTGCTGATAGCTTAAAAAAATACTAGCTTTGGGGCCTGTGGCTCAAAGGAGTAAGACGCTGGCCCCATACGCTGGAGGTGGCAGGTTCAAACCCAGCCCTGGCCAAAAACTGCAAAAAAAAAAAATACTTGCATTACTTATATTCAGAATGGTGGTGGGATATAGTGTAAATATTCAGAAATTATGATCTTTCTTTAGATAAATGGAAATTAGAAAAAAATACACTAATTACAATAATAGCAAAAAAAATACAGTTTCGGGAAATAAATTTAACAAGAGGACTCACAGTGAAAAAAAGTTGAAGGTTAGAAAATAAGATCTTTTCAAGTTAAAAGACTTCCTAGATTCTGAGATAATGATATATGTGAATTATTACAGCATTTTTGCAAAAAGATCTAGCAGAATCTTTTTTTTTTTTTGAGACAGAGTTTTACTTTGTCACTCTCGGTAGAATAGCATAGTGTCACAGCTAACAGCAACCTCAAAGTCTTGAGCTCAAGCAATTCTCTTGCCTCAGCCTCCCAAGTAGCTGGGACTACAGGCGCCCACCACAATGCTCAGCTATTTTTTGTTGCATTTGTCATTGTTGATTAGCTGGCCCAGTTCAGGTTGGAACCCACCATCTTCGGTGTATATGGCTAGTGCCATAGCCACTGTGCTATAGGAGCCGAGCCTAGAGGAATCTTTTAAAATTTAAAATGTACATATCCATCCATCAGACAATTTTCCCCCTAGAATGCTTTAGAAATAACAAAATCAATAGGCAAGGATAGATTACAAAGATATCATTGCAGCATGCACTTAGTAACAAAACCTAAAATTTAAATAAGGAAATGGTAGAATAAATTATGGTACATGCATACCATGAAATAATATGCAGCCACTGAAAAAAGTACATACTAGCTTAGAAGTTATTTCCGTGGTAAACTAGTGAAAACAACAGTGTATAGGGGAGATTTTATAATATTGCATTTTGATAAAACAAAAAAGATCCCTCCTCAACAAAACCTTTAAATATCAATCTTAAACATATACATATTTATATTTATATATGATAATGTGAGCATAGAAATTGTTAAATATGGTTGTCTGGCACTTCAGCCAAACTGGTTGAGACAGCCAGTAAGAGACACCAAGCAAGAAAAGAAGCCAGAGCTATGCCTGACCCATTTTCTTAATATTATTGGTAAATATTATTGGTAAAAGGTTATCATTAGTTACTTAGGGAAAAGGGAATTAGGCTAATTCAGGGGCCATCCTCTTTTAAGTTTAATTTTATATAAGAGTATATGGCAAACCATATTGACTTTTTCTTAAAAAATAAAGGTCTCATTTTAATTAAAAAGATCTCTTTCCTATTCCTTATTTAGGCCATTGATCAGCCTTTAGGTTTGTTCTGTCTTTAGCCAAGTTACTCTCAAGTGGTTTGTCATATTCCTTTGCTTACTTGTGCATATGGTTCTCTTCTCTGTGTACATTAGGCTGCTGGGTTTTCTCACATGGTATTGATCTGGTAAATGGAAAAGATAGGATAATTTTTGTCTTAGTGGGCAGGCTTCAAAGTAGTTGACAAATATGTTAAAGGTGGAAGCAACGACATCTGCTAAAAGAATGGATGTGAGATATAAGAGGGGGAATGCTTAGATTTGGAACTTGAGCAACTAGGAATATGGAATTGGCCTTTACTGAACTGGAAGAGACTACTTTAGGACCAAGTGTGGGAAAGAAAGCCAGGACCAGAAAGGCTCGGTGTCTCTAAAGATTGACATGCATCTAAGTGGAGGTGTCAAGTAGCCTATAGGCTAGATGGATCTGGAGGTTTGAGGAGCTAGAGATACACATTTGAGAATTGTCAGACTATAGATGGTATTTAAGCCCAGGAAAGTAGAGGAAATAACTATAGCAGTACATATTAATGGAAAAAAGAAGCCATACGGGGCTGAGGGCTGGGACATTTCAACATATACAAGGAAAAAATGATTGGTACACCCTCTGGGTAAAGGGCTCAACTACCAACTTGAACATTACCTTAGAAATGCAAACAATGTAACCTAAACATTTGTGCCTTCATGTTAATCTGAAAGAATTTTTTTTTTTTTTGGCAGTTTTTGGCTGAGGCTGGGTTTGAACCTGCCACCTCCTATATATGGGGCCCACACCCTGCTCCTTTGAGCCACAGGTGCTGTCCTGAAATAAATTTTTTAAAAATTACAAAAAAAAAAAATGATTACATCTAAAGTATAAGAAGAAAGGAGTTGGAGATGACTTATAGGGTTTGAGTTAGGAGCGATTATAAGACATCTTTTGATTCAAAAAAATAATAGTAAAGAGACCTGGTTAAGAGAAAATGATTAGTTTAGTCTTGACAAGTAGTTTTTAAAATGTTGACCAGATATGTGGTTGTATTTCCTTAATAGGTAATTGGAAATAGGGATCTGGCTCTCAGAAATGAGTTAGTAACAGAGCTATAATTCAGGATTCCATCCCACAGGAAAGATAACTGGAATTATGAAAGGAGTTTTAAGTTACCAAGGAAATAAAAAAAAAAGTCTTGAGGCCAACCGAGCCTAAGTAATACCTACATTTCAGGATATAAGAGGAGGAAGAGCATCCGTAAAGATGATCAAGAAGGGTGGGAAAAGAATCAGGATAGTGCTAAATCATAGATGAAGAAGGGTCTGTCTACTAGCAAATACAGCATAAAGCAAAGATGATGGAGCCAAGAAAAAGTCATGATGGCAAAGACTGGATTGTAAAGCTGAGTCCCAAAGAAGCTAAATGACTAATCCAAAAATAAAACAGCCACAGCAGAACCAGAATTTGAACCTGGATCTTCCTGCATATACACAGGAGGAAATACACATTTTTGTGTGTGTGTATAAAATGTACAAAAAATTATAATTTTATATATAACAAAAGTATATAGTATAGCAGTTGCATTTGTCTAATTATGATATTACAAATATATAAAAATAATCCTAATTCCTTTTTTATTTTTTTAGAGACTAAAGTCTCACTTTTTGGCCAGGCTGGAGTACAGTATTCTGATCATTGCTCTCACAGCCTTGAACTCTTGGACTGGAGTGTCCTACCACCTCAGCTTCCTGAGTAGCTAGAATCACAGGTGCACACCACCACAGTGGGCTAAATTTTCTATTTTTTGTAGAGACAGAGTCTCGCTATGTTATCAAAGCCGGCCTCTAGCTTCTGGCCTCAAGTGATGCTCCTCCCTTTGCCTCCCTAGAAGCTGGGATTACAGGCAACACCACTGCACCTGGAACCCAATTGTTATAAAATAAACTTTGCTTATAATTTTTAATGATAATTGAACATTTAATGAACTTTCATTCTAGGTTACAGGATGTGCATTTGTCACTTACCTTGTCGACCAGTGAAACCAAACATTATTGGAGAACAGGTAATCAGATTTTTTTTTTTTACTTTTAAATTTAGTCCTCTGTAAAGAAAGAGCGATATTTACTTACTTTAAAATGTGCATGTTCAGCAATGTGGTTTACTTCAAAATTGTGTATCTTTCAAATTATCATAATAGGAATAACATGAAATATATTGAAGAAAGAATTGCTATATTAAACTTCTCGTTTTATAGTTTTTAATTTCAGTCAGATAAATTGTTCTCATATATTTAAAATTAAAATTAACCCATTTATTTATTTTGGAATGCAAAAATTTAAAGAGTATTTTTTTTCTTTCAAAATAACTTTTGATCATGGAATCGGAGCTTTAATTACTATGACTTAATAAATAATTTGTTTTGATTTCATATTAGTCCTCTCCAAGTTCTTCCTTTTAAGCTTAATTTGACAGAATCAAAAAAGTTTCTGAAATCTTAATAACTCAAAAAAATATGTGTTTATTTTTAGGATGTATTTGACCTAAGGAGAACACAAACTATACAAACTATAAAATTTTTTAGTAACAGTATCCTGACTGGACATTAGCTTAGTGAACTCTCTTTATCAATTTTTCTTTGGGTAAACTGTTGAGAAAGAAGTGTTCTGTGAACGGTAGTCAGGACAGTGCCTAATCTATTAAGTCAATCCAAGATACTGTTCATGTGATAACAGTAGTACAATAATAAGGTAAGGAGCGCTGTGTAATGTTTACTATTCTCTACTCGCTATAACGTCCCAAGTAAATAGGAGGCAGCAGCAGTAAGCGTAACAGGTATCAAAACTAAGTGAGAGCTGTTGGAACAATATTTTTTCTCACTAAATGAGAATTTATGAAGTGACAGTTCTTTTACTTAGAAAAACAGATTTCTTATTATGTCTCTAACATTCTTTGGGCTATAGAGCTGACTCCAATTTTCAGAAATCTTTTGAGCAGATTATTAAATGTGGCCATCATTAAAAATAAAATTATATAAAACTTAAAAGTGACGGAGTTATATTTAAAAAATCCAAAGTAATGACTGTTCACCATTTCTAATTATTGTACGACTCTTTATTATTGGTACAGTTCAGGTTATTTGCATCTATTATATGGGGTACTTGAATGGTGGCAATGCTCTATAGTGGTATGAGGCTGCATATCCTCTTTCCAAATTTGAAATTGGCTGTGATAGAGTATTTTTACCATGGAAATCTGCAAATATGACAAATTAAGCTCTATTTTTCTGGAGTGCCAGTTGATAAACATTTACCAGCACACCACTGCTAACATTACCCCATTTATAAGCGTGCCACATAGAAAATACATATGGGCTCAGCACCCATTGCTCAGCAGTTAGGGCACCAGCCACTGGGGCTGGTGGATTCGAACCTGGCCGAGCCTGCTAAAATAAACAAAGAAAAAAAATAGCTGGATATTGTGATGGGTGCCTATAATCCCAGCTACTAGGGAGGCTCAAGCAAGAAAATCACTTGAGCCCAAGAGTTTGAGGTTTCTATGAGCTGTGACGCAACAGCATTCTGCCAAGGGTGATATAGTGGGACTTTGTCTCAATGGGGAAAACTAGGAAATTAAACTTGTAGCCTGTTGTTAAAGTAAGACTAAAAAACATGTAAATATAGGTAAGGAAGTTAAGACCCTTTCAAAGTCATATGGCAAAATTAGTATCAGCATCTGCAGGAAGAATGGGAACCAAAGACCCTAGAAAGCACCCCCAGAAAGGGGGAAAAAACAGAGAAAAAAGCTGGACAAGGTGAATAAAAACAATTTATCTACCTCACTTTTAAAAGTTGAATTACTTATCTGGGTAGTTTCTGCTTTTATTGGAAGCCAGGCCTGTAAGGGATACAACTTACAAACACCCCTGCTGGGTCTGTAAACACTCTGAATAACAATGGCCATAACGAGGTGCCTGCAGGCCTGGGAGGGAACATTAACCAGGTGGACCCCTGCCCAGTCAATAGTCAACAACCTTCCAGAAGCAATACCCATTGTAGAGATTTGTATGAGATCAAGGGAACAATCCCTGAGATGGGGCAGAAGGGCTTGTACCCTAAGCACGGAGGGAAACACCTCTGGGTAGAGATAAGGGGAAAATTCCTTTTATCCACCATTTCTTCATCTGCTCCACAAAGAAACTAGAGGGGTCTAACCTCCCTCAAGGGATGTGTGCATGACCACAGACAGGAGGCTGCCCCCATACAAGGCTCAGGTTCTGCATTTCTCAAAGCTGCCCAGACCCTTAAAGTTAATGATTATAGATAGAATAAGAACTAACATGCTTGCTCAGAGAAACTGCTGACGTTTTTGTTCCCTTCCTAAGCTTACCCCTCGGCTAAGTAAGAAAATAGCCTTACTAATAAAAGTAATAAAAGCTGGGTGAAAAAAATAAATAAATAAAAGCTGGGTGGAACAAGCACTCAGGGCCACTTGGTAAAGCCCCACAAGCTAGTGGTGGTCCCCTATACCTACTCTTTTTTGTTTGTTTGTTTTGGAGACAGAGTCTCACTATGGAGGGCTGTGGCGTCATGGCTCACAGCAACCTCAAACTCAGGCTTAAGTGATTTTTGCCTCAGCCTCCCAAGTAGCTGGTACTACAGGTGCCCACCACAACGCCTAGCTATTTTCTGTTGCAGTTGTCATTGTTGCTTAGCAGGCCCAGGCCAGGTTCCAACCTGCCAGCCTCAGTGTATGTGGCTGGCACCCTGCCCACTGAGCTACAGGCACTGAACCCCCCCATACCTACGTTTTAAAACTCTATTCTGTGTGTCCTGTCCCTTTATCGCTCACCGCTTTTACTTTCATTTTTCCCAGGCAATTGCTGCCATTATTCCATAGATCTTAAAGGAGGGCAGGACCCTGGTGATCTTCTTTACCATTAAGCCCTAGACACAGTAACATACTTAAATTTGCAAACTTATACTTCTATTTCATTGTCTTAGCAACTTATTTATATTAAATTCTCTGACAGATATCCAGTAAAATGGGTGGACATTATCACTGTATCATTTGTTCAGCAACAATCACCAGAAGGACTGATATGCTAGGACACGTTAGGCGCCATGTGAATAAAGGAGAGACTAAATCCAGGTATACTGTTGGTAAGTTGAAAAATCTCATCAAAATATTACTAAGTGAATATTTAATGGTTCCATTGTTTTGTTTTGTTTTTGTTTTTTGAGACACAGTCTTACTTTGTATGATACGATGTCATAACTCACAGCAACCTCAAACTCCTGGCCCAAGTGATCCTCTTGCCTCAGCCTTCCAAGTAGCTGGGACTATAGGTGAACACTACAATGCCTAGTTATTTTTTTAGAGACAGAGTCTTGCTCTTGCTCAGGCTAGTTTCGAACTCCTGAGCTCAGGCAATCTACCCGCTGGCCTTCCAGAATGCTAGATTATAGGTGTGAGCCACCACGCCTGCCCTGGTCACACTATTTTTTAAAGAGATCAGGTGGATAAAATATACTGATTTAATCAAATAAGTTAGTAGACTGCAAATCCATTAATTCAAGTTTTGGGGTTTTTTTGTTTGGTTGGTTTTTTTTTTGAGACATAATCTCAAGCTATCACCCTGGGTAGAGCGTCATGGCATCATAGCTCACAGCAACCTCTAACTTGGGCTCAAGCAATCCTCTTGCCTCAGTTTTTCTAATTTTTTAGTAGAGACAGGATCTTGCTTTTGCCCAGTCTGGTCTCAAACTCGTGAGCTCAAGCAATCCACCCACCTTAGCCTCCCAGAGTGCTAGGATTACCGGCATGAGCAACAGCACCTGGGCAAGTTTTTATTTTTATTTTTTGAGACAGACTCTCAAGCTATCCCCCTGGGTAGAGTGCTTTGACATCACAGCTCACAGCAACCTCCAATTCCTGGGCTCAAGTGAGTCTGTTGCCTCAGTCTCCCAAGTAACTGGGACCACAGGCACCCGCCACAACACCCGGCTATTTTTTGGTTGCAGCCATCATTGTTGTTTGGTGGGCCCAGGCTGGATTCAAACCCGCCACCTTAGGTGTATGTGGCTAGTGCCTTAGCCACTTGAGCCACAGGCACCGAGCCACCTGACCAAGTTTTAATTTCTTTCTGTGTGAGTTCCAGTAACATCAAACTGTTCTCAATTTAACATATACTTAATAAATGGTGAAAAAAAACCAGTGACACTAAAGTAAATTTAGGCATCTTAATGAAAGATTATAGAATTATATTCATAGTGATGTTTTATATCAGTAACTTTGTTATACTTATTGCTAGAAAACACTGGGAAATGAATGTAGAATGAAATAAACTCAATTCACCATCCTGAGGCATTAATCATTAATAATTTGTTATTACTTAGGAATGCTTTTTCAAGAATTATATTAAGCCCTGGTGGCCTAAAGCATCCATTGTATATCCATTGATTAACTTCTCTCCTCCACATCTAGAATGATGCTTTGTACCATTCTTTTAAGAACTGAAAAAAGTAGTTACAGAGCTAGTTTTCTAAAAAGGTTAATTTTCTCACAAATTTGAGAAAGGTTGAGGTGACATGCCTCTTCAGTGGGAATAGAAGGATATATAAACTATGGTTGGGGAGGGTTACTGTTACTTGCATTGTAGGAGGAGAAATATGGTTGCCGTATAGTTAACATTCTGATTGTATTATCAAGAAATAGAAAGGATCTTGATTGTTTTTCCCTACACATGCTATATATGTCTCATTTCTTAAATATTTAAAACATACATACAAATCAATTATTTTATTTGAGTTTATAGCTAAGTGATTCTAATGTCTATTAAATGTAGAATCATTTTTTCATTACTTCATAGCCATTTGAATGAAATTTGTGATTTAAAATCCTACCTATGGAAGGCTGTGTTGACCAGTTTGATGGAAGTATTTCAGATTGCATGTGAAAACCCCACACTGTACCCCAGAAGTGCATTAATGTACATAGTTACCA